TAGACGGTGCTGTGGAGGGCATTCGCCACAACCGACAGAACGAAGGTCTGTGTAGTATCACGATTTGGTAGTGTGGGAGCAGGTAGCTGGGGTTCACTTAGCTGGGCAATTGCCACAACTGTGGACCAGAGCACCCTGTTGGTGGTAGCAGAGTAGGGTCTGGTTCGTCACTGGGCCAATCCCGGCCTTCGCCATGGTCTCCAGATAACGACGCCGAGCGACTCTCCTCCAGGTGGAACAGGAAACACTGCCGACCCGATCCCCTCAGGAATTGAGGTTTTATAGAACCTAAGGCGGGAAAACATTAAAGGTCCCGAGTGCAAAGCCGTAGCGTGACAAGTACACGATAGGAGCCTTGTGCAGATTTGGTGCCGTGTGCACCTTGACTGTGTCGTGAGCATAGCCATGTGCTGGGTGCAAAATGATGTTTTGGCGGCAAAGTCACTCGGATTCCATGTTAAAGTCCTCCTTAGTTCACAAACTCCATTTTGATTTTCAATATGAGCTCTAACAACCTGAAAAGATCAGGTTATCCATGAGCTCTATTGAGATTCATCAGGGTATGATATCAGCATCTCCCCTCCTAGAAGGGCTTTCCCTGCATGCTCACTCAGTGTCCTCAAGATTTCCTAAGGGATTATAGAACCTCACCTCCAAGGTTAAGGATCCTGTCTTTGGGATCTCAGCATGGTACTTGGAAACCTCCATCTGAACCTACAGCACTCGCTTCATTTATCTATGAAAACGGCTTTTCTACGATCACAGGTTGGGGACTCGGATGACAGAATCCTCTTTTATGGCATTTTTCAAGGACCGGGTCTCTTTATGGACAGACTCTGAATTCTTCCCACAAGTGCTCTTAGATTTATCTCTTTACTAGGCCATCCCTTTACCACTACTTTTCCCTAAACCACATAAATCTCACCACAAAACCATCTGTTGTATTTGAGATAGTAGATGAGCCTTTAGATAGGATCAAGCAATTTCAGAAATCACCCGGTCTGTTCATCTCCACCAGAGAGAGATCCAAGGGGTCCACAGAGACTTAGGAGTGACTCTCTGGGTGTTTCATCACTTGCGGTGACGCAGACGGCACTCTTTTCCCTATCCCCACCCCAGGGTAGAAGAACATACTCTGCCACAGCTTTGAGAGCACTCCGATCTCGGAGCTATGCAGACTTGCTGCATGGCCACAGCGCGTACTGCCGAGGTCCATGGTGTCAGCTTGGATGGAGCACTTGGTACTGCCGTCCTGTCTTCAGTCTTGGACTGAGTTGCAAAGCTTTTGCCTCCCTTTGCAGGACACCTGAAAGCAGAGCACCCACAGGGACAAGACTTGGGAAGTAACTCACTTTGTGCAGGAACTGTGGTTCTTCAAAACGTGTCCCTCTGTGGGTGCACCATTACCCATACTCCTTGCCCTATGCTTTTGACTGTCGGTTGCTGGATGTTTGGATAGAGAAAGAACTGAGGGTTCATCACCTGCACAGCTGTGTCTACATAAGAGCGAAACTTAACCGAAAATCTGAGGCCCGAGAGGTGTGCACACACTTAAGTAGAGCTCCTCTCAAAGCACTACAGTTACTGCACAAGGTGAGTAACCTCTTTTTTTTATTGCTCTGTGATCAAGTATCACAAGTATATAGTCTTCCTCCTGTGAGCTGTAGTCACTCATCAATGCTGAAGGCTGAAACTTTAAAAGGGTTTCTGCCTGTTTTTCCAAGAACCGCTGTTTCAGGGAGCTGGAGCACTAACCAGATTGAGAGAGAAAGTTGGGAACTTTCCTTTTGCTGTTAGGTGCTATGAATTCATATGAAACGCAGGACTTTTTAACCAGGCCATCAGCAGCGAGTTGCTCTGAGCTCATACTCAAATTTTTTTTTCCCCTGGAGCATGGACAATTCCTAGCATTAGTTTGTAGTTTCCACTAGGGAAATTGGGGACAGCAGCACAATACGGTTCCCTTTTCCTACGTCACCTACGCGTGTGGGTTCAGGAAAATAAGATTCCCCCCCCCCCCCCGTGTCTATAATTGATATCACTTTGTCAGTTGCAGCAGGGGAAAAGAGGCTGCTCTTCCCTTCACTCCCTGTAAAACAGAAAAGGAATTGTTTATCATCTGCAAAAAAGCCCTAAACCCGTGACCATGTTGATGTCCCAGGAAATGACCAGGTGCCGAAACATAAAAGAAAGGTGGAGACATACAATTGCCCAAGAATGGGCCCTATCAGTACCAAAGCCCACGCTCATGCGTTGCATTCAGGGTTAGGCAATTAATGCTTGCTCAGTCTGATCAATGGGAATGGATTTTTTTTTTTTTACTGAGAATCTTGTAAGTCAATGATGACACAGTAGTCCTTGTGTCTCACAAGGAATTCAGTCATCTCCCTGCACTCCGCTAAAGAGGGCATGCTAGCTCCCACTTCTGCTAACTTTAGAGAGACCTGAGAAGGTCGGCCCCATTCATTGTACAACAGGAATCCTGTTTCATGTTGGTTGGAACTCCCAGACTGGGATTAGATCCCCTGCTGGGGTTGATTTTGCAACATCAACAGGCCCTAACTAGTAAATAATATGGGAATCAGCCCAGCACGCGCCCTGGGCATGGTGCTGATCATAGATTAGAGACAATTTCTGCAGAACTCCAGTTCCTCTGAACTTGCAGTTAGCTCCAGCCCCAAACGCACAGCTCGAGTAAAGAGGTAAATGAGTTACCCTGTACTTCCCCCAGCTGTAAACCAGGTCTGGTAGGAACTGCCCAGAATTAATGCGCCTTTGCAGCATGGCCACTTGCCAGCTCTTTGAACTGTAATGCAACATCTGTTGACTTAATTTCCCCCTCCTCCACACTTTAATCCTCTCGCCTTCTGAAGCACTTTTCCCCTGAAATTGGACATGCTGGTTGCCCTGTACAGTTCTGGCTGACAAGAGTGAGCATCCTGTGCACAGAGGCATCCCCAGGAGCTGCAGGAAGGGAGATGAGCACTGCCAGCCCTATCTGATGTCTTCTTAACAACTCACTGTTGTGTCAGTGCCAAAAAAAAACCCCTCTGGGTGCTAAGTGAGAGGCTCTGCTTGGAACAAGAGGCAGCTTGCACACTGGAATGCATCCCTCAGTTTGCTTTAAGACATTAGCGTGACTCATTAAGTGGGTTTTGCCCACGAAAGCTCATGATTCTCTAGATTTTGGTTAATCTTTAAGGTGCCACGGGACCACATGTTGTTTTCAAAGTTAGACTACCATGGCTACCCCTCAGAGGCTCATTAAGAAGTGTTTTAGTGGGCGCAGCTTCAAACAATTGAAATTAGTATAGATTTCCACAGGTCTAATCTTTGCACTGCCCTGACTCACTAGTAAACTGCTCCATGGCTCAGTTTCTCCATCTGTAAAAGGGGGGGGGGGAGGGTCAAAATTCTTGCCTGCCTTTGTAAAGCAGCGTGAACTCAGTGGGTGAGACATACAGCGCTGCCTGCGCCTGCTTCGGCGGAAGGGAAGGGGAATCTGGCATCTTCCAAAAGGGACTGTGTGCAGCTTTCAGGAAAAATCACCCCATTTGTTGTTCAGGCAGCCTCACTGTAGGCAAGCACTGCAAGCCCAGGTGCTGGGCAAGGCACAATCGTTCCATAGGGTCTTGTCCCGTTTTAGGTTCTGGAATCCCAGGCCCTGAGACAGCACCATGTCCCAACCTGGCGAGAACAAAGTCATCTCCATCCAGGCAGGCTCTGGAACCCCCAGCAGCATCTCGTGGCTGTCATTCACACACTGGGGTCCTCCCAAGGAAGCAAGCCTGGCTGCTGGGCAAACAGGAAGCAGCTACTCCCCATTTAGGAGATGCTGACTACTCTCCGCCTAATCTCTAAGTGGAGGAAGCTGCCGCAGTAGGAGGTACGTTGTAGAGTTCCCACCTTGCACCCTCGGCCATCACTCAGCCCAGCCCTGCCTGACTAAGCACAGCTCAAGTAGAGGAAGAGGTAAATGAGTTACTCTGTACTCTGCCCCCCATCACTCCCTGCAGCCCCTTTTCATTTCCGTTGCTCCTCTCTGGACTCCCTGCAGATGGGGAATAAAGTTCTGGTACGGAGATACCGACCACTCACTCAGTATGGCGATTGCACCAGCCTTTTTGACAATGATCGCTATTGCAAGTCATGCAAGTCTCACCACACTAGGGCTACATTGACATTGCAGAGTTTTTGCGCAAAAACTCGTGGAGCATCCATACTACAAGCACGTTTTTGCACCAGAAAAAGTACAGTAGATCGTGAGAAGAGAGCGCTTTTTGCACAAGAGTTATTCCTCTTTCTACAAGGAATAAGCCTTTTTGCACAAGAGCTCTTGTGCAAAAAGGCAGGTGTGGACGGACAACGGGTCTCTTGCACAAGACACCCCTTTCGGAAAAAGCACAGGTGCTCTGGTGGCCATTCTGTGAAAGGCAATAAGAGCTCTCTTGTGCAACAGCATCCATGGCAGTGTGGACGCACTTTTGCACAAGAAGCCTGCAGTGTAGACGTAGCCCCCATGGCAATGAGGGTCACTGCTATCTAGCTTTTCTGTCCCTTGGAGTGTGGGAACTGGGGGCATGGTTCCCCCCATGACACTGGAGCACTCTCTGCCATGGCCCCGATCTACCTGTCCTCAATGATTGACCTAGCTGCTGCTGCTAGTTTAGCACCACAATGAATTTCATTAACAAGATATTTATTTCCTTTGCTGGCAGTTCAAACAGAGCCCCAACTGGACTCTGCCAGACTGCACTAGACTCCTCCCCCCAAAGAGTCACACAGACCCTTGGATTCCTCCCTCTCGTGCACCTCTCTAGCGCTGGGCTTGGAACGTCAAGCACATTAGCTCTCCACCGTTGCTCTCCAACTTTCATCTAACACTCATTCATTCCCCCACCATAAAGTAACTGTTATAAAATCACCATCGTTACTTAGGAAAACTTTATTTAAACACCTCGGATGTGCAAGGCCCAAAGAATGGGAACGGCAGGATTTTAGGCTGTAGCCTCTCTCCATTTCAGCCGTTTTCTCCTGCATTAAAGCAAATTTCCCTTTATGATTGACATGAAAACACTGTTCCAGGAATGGAGCCTTTTAAGCCATTTCAGTTGCCTGAGTGGGAAGGGATTTACCAGCACTTGGCAAACTCAGCTGCCACTTAGTCTTAGAGGCTTCTTGGCCCTTATCTGACCGACTAGGGCACTGTTCCCCACCCACACAGAGAGGGCAGAACACGTCTCCATAAACATGCCCAGCATTGTAGCTAACAAAGAACAAACCTTACAACCCAATAGGTTTCCTCTGGAGAGTACGGCCCGGTAGCAGCCCGTTTCCCAGCAAGGGGATCACTTTGAGACGCTGCAACACCCTCCATCCCCAACCACCTAAGTGGCTGACAGTTCGGACAAGGAACCTGTCCATTTTGAGATGCCAATTCCCTCTCCATCTTTAATTTGTTTTCTTATGTGACAGAAGGGGCCTTTCTGTGGCTGTGCATTAAAGATCACTCAAATTAAGTTCTGGCAGACTGTCAGACAGGTCACTGCTGAGGTCCTTCTCCTCCTCTGAGATGCTTCCAGCCTCCTCCCTGGTGGAGTTTTCCTCCAGCTCCAGGCTTGAGATGTCTTTGGAGCCTATGGACACATTGCAAGGAGTTAGCTATGCTCTGGACTCTGAGGCGCAAGTCATCATCATCAACCAAGAAAAATGGCCCAAGGGTAAACTTCAGCCCCTGAGCACAACCTCCCTGTAACCAAAGCCGATCTGCTGGGTTGGAGTCACCAAAGAACTCCAAGCAATGCCAACTCATCATCTATTGAGGCAGACACAAGTACAAGCAAACACAATGACTAATATATATTTTAATCGTAGTCCCTTGCCTGCTAGCAGCTTTTGGGCACCCCTACTATGATCCCGATCCTGGCCTATGGGTGCTATCAGGATATAAATGTTTACTGTAACTAATATAGAGTAACAAGTTTCCAATTATGAAATTAGGCACGTTATCTAACACGGGGCTCTGCTGATCAAATGTCCGTCCCTGGCATGTGCCTGCAAGTTATACAGGAGAAGAGAATTTCCCTATGATGAGTCATGGCTAGCAGCATCCTAACAGCAACTGGACATGTCATAACTGCATCTGCAAAGCTGTTAATTGTAGCAGCTTTACTAGTGAAGACCGACTCAGTGGGATTTTGTATTTAGAAAAAACCAGAACACAAGGCAGTTTTATATGCCTGTAAAGCCCCCATTCACAAGAATCTTAAGCGTCTTACTGAAGTAGGGCATGAATTTACTTTAAAAGAACATTAACCCCTTTGTTCCTGGAGCTGGGAATTCCCCCAAAGCTAATGCAAGTGTTAATGCAAATGAAAGGGTCTTCATCCTGAAGCAATGCTGCAGGCCAAAGGTTATACAGTTTGGAAGATGACACTTTTGAAAATAGGTGATTTTCCTTTTTCCACCTCACTGGTTGAATGCCAGCACCTAACCAAACTGGGAGTGACATTAAAAACTGACCCCCTGGCACCACTGGGGAATGCTGAGTACTGCAGCTTAATGTTATGCTGAAGCAAGACTGGAAGGGAGGAGCCAGTTTTGGCAAGGAAATGCTGCCTACAGGCACCACAATTTTAACTGTGATCTAAGTGCTTTGGAAGCTACTGTCACAGGCCCAGTCAAGCGCCCCTCTTGGCCGCTCACCAGCCTGTTTTAAGCCTCCAAAGTCTGAATCGAAGCCAGTACTGTCCCCATGTTGGGGCCTCTGGGCTCACTCTCCGGGTGCAGCTCTATTATCCAGCACACCCGCCTGGGAACTCTCATAATGCAGCCTGCTGCCCAGCCCCTGGACACAGTTCTTTGGGCCAGGATCAGAATCCTTTAGGGCCATCCAGGGTCCTTCTGCAGCAGTGCATGGCTTGTGTTCCAACACACGATGCCTTCTCTCCCCACCTCACCTCTTTGACCCTGGCTGATCTATCTCCTTCCCCTCCCCTGCCCAAAACCGCCTGTGTGGCTCTCGGAGGCTGCGTAAACTCCATTCTCACTCCTGTCTCTGTCCTTTCCTGTCTCCACTTCCTCCCTCCCTCCCTGCAGACAAGTTGAGGCCAGAAGATGCTTTCCCAACTAACCCACTGTCATTCAGGCATTTCCCCTAGATAGGCAGCCATTACATTCTAGCTGCCCACCACTGTCCCCGGGCCGGAGAGAGCTGATAAGCGTGGTGGATACCAGATATTTACACAAAGGTATTCCATGATACAAACATTTCTTAACAACTTTACAATACTAGTCAAGTCACAAGCTATGCAGCTGGAGTCCCCAAAGTATCACAGCCAGCAGTCTAGAGTCCCTTTATCAGATCAGAGAACAAGGTACTTTGGTGGGGGTGGGGGGAGTGCAGTTCTACAATGCAGACCTCAAACAGCCTCCATCTTTAGTATACCACGTGGACATATTAGACTCCCAGGATGCAAAGGAAGGCCCCTGGAACACTGTATGCTGGGAGATGATGTCCCTCCCTCCTCTGGGCTGCCCCTTAATACAGGTGTAAGAGGCTGCAGTTTGCTCTGTTTTATGCAAAATAACACTTCTATCGGCATAGCACCTTCCAACTGAGTAAGCCTGACAACATACAGACAAGGTGCTCTGGAAAGTAAATCGATTAACAAGCGGAGAGCTGGGATTACACTCAAGAAGTCTGACTCCCATTCCAATGCTCTGACCATTAGACCATGCTGCCTCCCAAATACATACACCAAATTTGGACACAGCCTTAGGGCTCTAGTCAAGTGAGTGGGATCTTAGGGCATCACAAATATTGAAACATTTTTAGGGACTCCAAACAGAGACTGGTCAGACAGATCCCTGACCCCTATCCCAAGGCAGTCACACATCTACTACCATCCACACTCCCACTGACAACTATACTCTCAGGGCATCAAGGACTCTTAAGCCAGCCATACTCCTCTTACCTTCAAGCTCCTTACTCTCTGTGGAGCTGGAGAGCTCATCCGAGCTGACATCTGTGAGACTGAGCTCAGAGGCAGACTCTTCACACAGGGATGAAGAAAGTGTCTCCTCCTCTCTCAACAAATCACTGCCTTCCTCTATGAGAAACATGCCAGCAAGCAGGGTAAGTCGAGAGCTGAGCTCATGGTTAAAGACCACAGGCCTGATTCCTCACTGCCTTCAAGGCAATACATACATTCTGGTTTCCCAGTCTCTGGCACCTACTCTGCCAAGCAAAGGGATGGAGAGCCAGGCCCTGAATCAAGTAAACCAAGACAGGACCTGCACTGGACACATGCTGAACGTGTCCTGGAGGCAACACCTGCACCGACCTCTCCCATCTCTGACTCCGTTGTGGTTAAAGACAAACGAAGCAGGACCATAGGAGAGATGAAGGAGACAGAGAAGCCAGCCACACCCCTGGCTATCTCCAAACCATAATCTCTTCCCAAGGCAAGTAGTTCCATGAAGTGACATTACTAGAATTCTCTGGACTTCGCAGCTCTCTGATGCAAACCAGGGAACTGAGCCTGTGAGAACCAGGACTTCTGAGATTTTCAGGCAGGGAGCCCAGAAGCCTTAACATTGCAGTACTTCCCAGAATCACACACCTTGGAAACCCCCTGCTCCCTAGCCCCCAGGCAATCCACAGACAAAGCTACCCCAGAGCCACAGATGCTGGAAGTCCTGGGCTCCCCTCAGCAGCCCACCAGCAAATCAGATTTCCCTAGTAACTGTCTGTGATTCAGTGAATGTTTGTCAAACCTAAGATGTTTCCACAAAACACTTCAGGTTCAACAAGCCAGCCACTGGCAACAAAACTCTTATTTTGTCAGAAAATTCCCAATCAGCTCTACCCGAGAGAACTAGCATCACTTACTCCCATGAGCACTTTCCTTTCCTATGGGCTTAGTGTATGGCTTCTCCAAGGGCAGGTTTTTCATTTGATCTTTCAGGTCAGTGACTGTGGATCTGATTGAAAGAAAACCAACACCACTGATTAGTTCCAGGGACTGCAACACCTACCAGGAGAGACACAAAATTCATTCATGGCGTTTTCTGCAGTGAGGTGTTTTGTTAAACTCGTGGTTCAAAGGGAATTCAGCTCTGCTGAGCAACTCATTGGATGCAGGGTGTGTGGTAGGGGAGGCAGAAAAGACCTGAGGCT